ACCCAAATTATCCCCCGGAAGGGTCTGAACCGTCCTCATCCTCGCTGCGCACACCCGGGGCGGCCGAGCCTCCAAAAATCGCGATTTTCCCCCGTTCTCCCCGGGCTCCGCAGCGCCGCTTCAAACTTCCCGCGCTGCCGGGATTGACAGGCGTGGTTATGCAAATTTTAAACAGAACACGCGACAGGAGCATCATGGGAGAGCCACTTTGGGGAGTTTTTCCGCATTTCCGGGGATCGCTGAGGTCAAAATGAGGAAAAAAAATAGGGAAATAAAGCAAAAATGAGAGAAAAAAGCGCTGGGGAAGGGCTGGAGGGCGGCGCGGGGGTGTCCGTGAGGTTTGTGCGGGGCGGGCGGTGCCGGGCAGGGTGCGGGAGTGATCTCAGTTATTGCTTCTCGGCCTTTTGGCTAAGATCAAGTGTAGTATCTGTTCTTATCAGTTTAATATCTGATACGTCCTCGATGAGAGGACTTCATATTAAACGGATTTTTGGGCTCGGGAGTTGGACCCGGAGCTTGCTCCCTCCGCTCCGCGCATCGTCCCGGTATTGCAGTGCCTCCGGGAACGGTGCACCCCGCACGGGGACCTTTCTCTGGTCAAAAATAGATCTAATTAATAATTGAAAATTAGTATTTATTAACACCGTGATAAATCGGGATAACAATCGCGGTTTTGTGACTCAGTGTCACTCCCGGAGCTCGCTTCTCTTTCCGCTCCGCTCCGCGCATCTTCCCGGTATTGCAGCGCCTCCGGGAACGGTGCCACCCACGGGGACATTTATTCAGTAAAAAAAACCACTAAAAAATAACCAATATCGTGATTATATCGCGATATTAAACATGGCTTTATCCCGGAGTTCGCTTCTGTCTCCGCTCCGCGCATCGTCCCGGTATTGCAGTGCCACCGGGAACGGTGCACCCCCACCGGGGATCTTTCTTTGGTAAAAAATAGATCGATAAATAATAAAAATCATGATTTATCATGTTTATATCGCGATATCAATCGTAGTTCTGTAATAAGGTGTCACTCTCTGAGCTCGCTTCTGTCTCCGCTCCGCACATCGTCCCGGTATTGCGGCGCCTCCGGGAACGGTGCACCCCGCACGGGGACCTTGCTTTGGTGAAAAATAGATTTAATTAATAATTGAAAATCAGTATTTATTAATTCCATGGTATATCGGGAAAACAATCGTGGTTTTGTGACTCAATGTCACCCCCGGAGCTCTCTTCTCTTTCCGCTCCGCTCCGCTCGGTGCACCCCACACGGGGACCTTAATTTGGTAAAAACGAGATTTAAATAATAATAAAAATCGAGGTTTATTCTATATTCTCTCTCCCGGATCTCCCTTCTGTCTCCGCTCTGCGCCTCGTCCAGGTATTGCAGCGCCTCGGGCAACGGTGCACCCCAATCGGGGATCACTTATCTTGAAAAAAAACAGATCGAAATTTATCAAAATCGTAATTAATTGTGTTTTATATCGCGGTATAACCCTAACCCTAACCCTAACCCTAACCTAACAGTCGTGGTGCTGTGATTTTATATCAGTCACCGTGTGGGGTGCACCGTTCCCGGAGCGACGCAATACCGGGACGATGCGCGGAGCGAAGAGCAATAGAAGTTTTGCGACACATACGAATTTCTCAGAACCACGATTGATATCGCGAATTATTTATTTTTATTATTGTTTAAATCTATTTTTGACCAAAGCAAGGTCCCCGTGTCAGAGTGCGCCTTTCCCGGAGGCGCTGCAATACCGGGACGATGCGCGGAGAGGAGCGGAAAGAGAAGCGAGCTCCGGGAGGGACATTGAGTCCCAGAAACATGATTGTTAACGAAACGTAAATGTGAAATTGATAAACCTTCATATTCATTATTATTTAAATCTGTTTTTGACCGTAGCAAGGCCCCCGGTGGGGGTGCACCGTTCCCGGAGGCACTGCAATACCGGGACGATGCGCGGAGCGGAGGGAGCAAGCTCCGGGTCCAACTCCCGAGCCCAAAAATCCGT